CCTTTACTGCAATTACTGATTTCAAACATACTCCAATTAGGTCTCCATAACCCACAATGTGATCATGTCAGTCATTCAGCTTCTGCTGTGGCTACTTCTTTTGTTCCCCCTGAACTCTTTGTGTCACACAGGTTCAGACTGCTTCCTACTGAAAAACGTAAAAAAGAAAACCAGGACTTAAAGCTGCAAGCAGTGGTAAACTTCTCATACACCTCTGCACCAATCACAAACACATTTTAACCCTTTAAAACTTATATACTTCACTTAAAAAGCTAACCTTCTTGAGGAGCCACTGGTCTTCACTGACATTATTCAGGATCCTGGACACGACAAACACCTTACAGCCTGAGTTGTCAACTACACCATTGAGAAATAAATATATGGATATTTTAACTAATTCTAGGGCCAGATTAAGGATTAGTCTTATTATGAAAATAAAGTCGGCATATTATCCTGATATGACTTTATTCTGGTAATGTTATGACTTTTTTTTTATGGTATGGACTATTTTGTACAATTATGACTTTATTCTCATATTTTTACAAATTTATTTCAATAGTACAACTATCCTTGCATAATTTCTTCTTTATTCTGGTAATTTCTCTTAGGTTAATTTTTAAAAATCACTGACCCTGGCTCTAATACTCTGTCGTACTAATCTGTCTTTTATTTTCCATTAAATAAATACTGTAAAGTAGTGAGTGTACATTTATTGATCAACTTCATTTATTTATCCATAAAGCCAACACTGCCTGAGAGTGTGAAACTAAAGTCAAGTTCCTTTTTTGTTGCAAAAACATGGCCAAGAAAGCCGATTCTGATAATTATACATTGTTGAAGAAATAGTTAAAACCAACAAGAACAAATGATTCAAAACTACTGCAATAGTCAACAGTTCAAAATATTACAGTTTCCAAACAGAAACACTCTCGTAATCATACATTTTACTGTGTCATAATGGTATAGCTAATCTCACTATTCAATCTCCGAAGTTTGAAGCGAAGTGGACAGAATCAATACAAACAAACACAAACAGGCCTGTAATCACAGAGACAGGGTGGAAATAAAGTGCCTATGCAAAGTTTTTACCCCACTGGTTGTTTTTCTCTTTCCATTGCTTTTATAAATCAAACATGATCAACAGCATTATGAATATTTTGACAAAAACAACAACAAAAAACATAACAAAAAGACCCCTTTGATATTTAACATCAAAGTTATAACTGTTTCTGCAAAATAATGACAATGAAGAATATGTATATATAAAAAAGTGGGACTCTGAAATGAAAGGTCAGATATTATATGACACTACATATTTTTAGTAAAGAAAACTACTGCTATAGTCCATTAGGTATTATGTATTTGAATACAGTGCGGTATTTAAAATATTGCCAGAAAACAATTCAAGGAAAGGCCACAGCTCTTAGGTCCTTCTCAACAGAATCTGGAATGTCATAACTTTCCCTTTCAGATTGACAGTTCATGACATTCATTTACTGCAGTCCATGTAGTAGATGAATGTGAAATATTTTTCAACACACACACACACAAAAAAAAAAAAAAAAAAAAAAAATATATATATATATATATATATATATATATATATATATATATGTGGCTTTGACATTTCAGCAATCAGCTCCAACTAGCTCTATTAAGCAGCTGCCCAAGCAAGATGAAAGTTAAATTATTCATGCTTACAAAGCAGGAGCAGGAAATCATTTCACACCAGCCATTTCCACAGATCATCAGGTAATTTAATAATATAGGCTTAAAATCAAGGTGGAGGTCAATGTGGGGACAGGAGGACTGACAATGTCCAAACACAAGCTCCACCTGACTGCAGTCACTCTATTCCACTTTGACCAGATTTAGTTCAACATTCATTTCTGTTCTGCTGCTTTAGTCTCTCAACAAGGCCCTTCATGAAAACATGACTATATCAAAGAAATCCCCTTTTTCCTATTCTGGAAACAGAACATTTACATGAACAATGAAACAAACAAAAATATTACTATGAACATATAGTACATAAACTTTTAGTTTATTAAAAGTGGATAAACTATCAGTGATGCTCAGTGATGATGATGAACGACTTGCAAGTAAAATAACAGGTTTTGGTGTCTGCATGTTCTGAGTCAGCACACTGTCCAATGGAAAAGGCAATTTATGGCCAGCTTCAGTGGATGGTTCCAAACTGCCATGTTCATGTCTCCAGGCCTGCTGCTCCTCGCTCCTACTGGAGCAGGAAGCAGGAAATAGGAAGCCTCCCCTGAGGTCAGGAGAGTTTCTGTAGGTGACTCTTTCTTGCAGAGCAGACAAACCTTCAATATTTTACTGTTCTGGTCAGGCCTATAAATATTTCTTCTGGACACAGCTGGCTAGATGGTTAAAGTTTTGTCCTGATGGACAGTGAACCACCATTCTGTTTAAAGTTTTCTGCAGCCTCTATCAGGTTTTCCTCCTGGATTGCTCCATGTTTAGCTCCATAAATTCAGTCTGCCTTTCCTGACCCTTGCAAATGAAGGCTTCCTTCCTTACAGCATGGCGCTGCCACCACCATGTTAGCAGGGTTGGTGTGGTCAGGATGAAGTGGTATGTCAGGTGTTCATCACACATTTGTGGCTCCGATGTTACAAAGAGTGAAAAACGCATTAAGAGGACTTTTGTGAGGCATGGTGCATATGAACACAAAACACAGCAACAACAGAGGAACAAGAATCCTGAGGCTGCCCAAGTCATCTCTCTGGTCTCCAAAGAGCAATTAAACAAGGGCCAGCCAATGCAGCCACCTTTAATTGAACTATAATTAAAAAAGAAAACATAAGTGTAAAAAGAGACTTGGCTAGAAAGCAAAAAAAAATAAAAAAAAAAATGGAAAAGAGGCAAGCAGATGGAAACAATTGATAGTGGGATCCCAGGTGTAGTCATGGGTGCAGCTAATCGATTGGTGACAGAACACGTCTCTCTCACTCTTAGGCTTAGTCTTCCACTCAGTCTCTGTCCCTCCCAGTTCATCTCCAAGTTTCATTCAATTGATGCTGTGGAAGGAGCCGACCCAGCAGGTTCATTCAGTGTGGGTTAGAGTCAGTACACATTGTAATCACATTTGTGATACTTCAAACTGTTCAGTCCATAACCAGTAAAAACATCGATAGAATAGGCATAACATCCAACATCAGGACACTGGACATCAGCTGTCCTTTCAGACCACAGATAATGACTTGCTTCCAACAAAAAAAAAACACACAGAGTGCAGCAAACACATGAAACAGCAAACACATGAAACAGCTTCTGCACTATAAGATCAATACTTTTGTCAATATTGAATGTGTCACTTATTTGCTGAGTGACTCCTTCAGACAGCACTGATGCACAACGGTGACAAACAACTGTGCACACTTGTGTGTAGCTAATATCTGAGCAGCGGAGGAGAAGGACAGCATCCTGTTTTCCAGCCACTGGCCAGCTGCTTGGATTTATTGGGGAATAAATGAAAATGGATGGAATGTGATGGAGTGTGCACACAAGAAATGAGGGAACATGCTGTCAGCAGGAGATGATGGTGGACAAACGCCTGGGTGGAAGACAGTGGGACAGATCAGAGGAGCAGTGGAGGTGACTGTGTAATTGATACTGATAAGTAGTTTTTTTTAACTCCTGTGGAAATCTGCCAACACAAAGAAGAGGGGACTTCTTTCAAAAAAAAAAATCTTAGCCTACAACATTACAAATGAAATTATAATTTTATATATTTTTGCCAAGTTGTAGCAGTTTTATTTTATTATTTAAAGCTGGGATATCAGTTGAGAGGCACAGAAGTCTTTATGCTGCACATGAGCCTTGTAGAGAATAGAAGGTTGATCCTAAATTTGAGAATACAGAAAAAAAAAATACTGGATTTATGTTTGAAGCGAGGAGAACAGGCAACAGGACTGTTGGACTGATGAACAGGACTGATGTTACAGAGAAGATGCTAGCATCTACTGACATGTAATCTATAGGCACCTTGTGACCAGGGTACCTATGCCCAATGGACTCAACCCAAAGTCCTGTCTATGGCCCAAATTAGAGAGACTTCCCTAATTCATTATCCTGCAGCTGCACTCAGAGCTGACCAAAGCAATTTCCATCTGCCAGCCGTGTTCTAAATAAATATGTGTTTCACCAAGCAAGCCTAAAACAAGCAGTTGGTGAGTACAACACCTGATCTGAGACTTCATTTGCAGTAATAGTTGGAGAACTCTCATTAAAACTTGTGATATGCCAAACGTGGAAAAAAACAAAAAACAAACAAAACAAAACAAAACTGAAAAATATTCATTCATTCTTCAAACTTGAACATTTCAAAAATATAGGTTGTTTAACTGAATGGACTATAGGTTGTTTGGACTGAATGATCACAACTTTTTTTTTCCAAAGGTCACATCATAAAAATATAAAAGAGTATTTTGTAATGTACTAAATCATCTAAACCAGATGGGGTCAACTTTGCATTTCCCTTAATTTATTAAAGGTAACATATCAACGAATATCACTGCTGATCTGTTGAAATCACACAACTTATAGAATAATTTGATTTGTGTTTTACAAAAAGATAGCAAAGCTGATGAGGCCCAATGAGAGACAAAGTTAAAAAATGCTACAGTTAAAACAATTCCATCAGTAGCTCTGCATCCAAAAGATGTAAAATAAATCAATATTCATGATATTTTAGGTTTTCAGGGTCCTGTCAGTGTCTTGACTTTATTTTTAGATGTGCACACTGTTGTCACATCATGCTATCAAATGAGACAGTTGCAGGATGTTTGGCTCATGGTTCACATGCTAGCTATGATCAATATAATCAATAAGTCATATTGTGTGAAACATTCTGTGTTTTACAAACACATAGCAAAGCTGATCAGCCCTCTGATGAGGCCCAATGAGAGACAAAGTTAAAAATTACTACAGTTAAAACAATTCCATCAGTAGCTCTGCAAATAATTTTTTGTGCTCACCTGTGTTGGGAGGCATGGATAAAAGAGTGCAGGCATCTGCTCCCTGTCCCACTGATGGCGACGACAATAAAGTCTTGGCAAGGAAGGCGGAGATGGGCTGAACCAGCAGGGATGTGAGACTCCCTCCAGACCCAGCTAGCACGGAGAACAAAACAAAGGACAGGCAAGAAAAAAAAAAAAAGACAATTAAAGACTATCTTTTGGATCTTCCTGCAAACCAACAAAATGACATTTTATGCAGTGTAGTTTATAAATTGTACTAGATTAAGATTCTTACTCTGCATTGTGATATAGTATATGTTTTAAAATCACTGACAAGATGCCAGTTGATGCTGTTCAATAAAATAAAATATACTCAGTCCTTCTTGATTTTAACATTTTTTTAAAAAAGTACAAACAGGATCAGTTGGAGATGAGGATACATGTGAAATAAACACTGAATAGGAGCTTAATTAAAAATAAGAGCTAAATGTCTCTTTAATCCGTCTGAGCCCGTCCCTGTTTGAAGCAGTGCAGTACAATAAGATAAAAAAAGGATGTCACTACAAATAATTTAGACCCTTAGAAAACATATCTATTCAATATTTGGATTTTACCAGTTGTATGGCTGTCTCTCGCTATATATATGAGCGACTGGCAGCCCAAATGAACCAGCTGCTACAAAGTGGGACTCACCCTGAATGGTTAACTGAAGGGCGGACAATCCTAATCCAGAAGGATCCAATAAAGGGTCCAGTCCCACCCAACTACTGACCAATAACCTGCCTCTCCACAACCTGGAAGCTCATGTCAGGTATCATAGTAGCCAAGATAAGCAAACACATGGAGAAACACATGTGGTATCAGTGTAAATAGCAGAGGAGCCAAACACCAATTCCTCATAGACCACACAGTTGCCAGAGACTGCAAAACCCGAAACACCAACCTGTGCATGGCTTGGATTGATTACAAGAAAGCCTATGACTCAATGCCGCATACTTGGATCATTGAATGCTTAGAGATGTATAACATCAACAGGACTTTGAGAGCCTTCATTGCAAACTCGATGAAGCTGTGGAAAACCACCCTTGAAGCCATCTGTAAACCACTTGCACAAGTGTCCATCAAATGTGGCATATACCAAGGAGATGCTCTGTCCCCGCTACTGTTCTGCATAGGCCTGAACCCCCTCAGCCAAATTATCAACAAGACTGGCTACGGATACCGACTCAAAAATGGGGCTAACATCAGTCATCTTCTCTACATGGATGACGTGAAGCTGCACGCCAAGAGTGAGCGAGACATCGACTCACTGATCCACACCACCAGGATCTACAGCACGGACATTGGGATGTCATTTAAACTAGAGAAATGTGGTCGGCTGGTCACAAAGATATCAGTAAATCCTACCAATGGCTGGAAAAAGCTGGACTCAAGGACAGCACAGAGGCCCTCATCCTGGCCGCCCAGGAACAGGCCCTAAACACCAGAGCAATAGAGGCCCAGATCTACCACACCAGACAAGACCCAAGGTGTAGGTTGTGCAAGGAGGCCCCTGAGACAATCCAGCACATCACAGCAGGGTGCAAGATACTGGCAGGGAAAGCGTACATGGAGCGACATAACCAAGTGGCAGGCATAGTGTACAGAAACATCTGTGCAGAATATGGACTGGAAACCCCGAGATCAAAGTGGGAAACACCCCCAAAGGTGGTGGAGAACGCCAGAGCTAAGATCCTGTGGGACTTCCAGATCCAGACAGACAAAATGGTAATGGCGAACCAACCAGACATTGTTGTAGTGGATAAACATCAGAGGAAAGCCGTTGTGGTAGATGTAGCAATACCAAGTGATTGCAACATCAGGAAAAAAGAGCACGAGAAAATGGAGAAATACCAGGGCATCAGGGAAGAACTAGAGAGGGCCTGGAAGGTGAAGACCACAGTGGTGCCTGTGGTCATCGGGGCCCTCGGGCAGTAACCCCCAAACTGGATCAATGGCTACAACAGATCCCAGGAACAACATCAGACATCTGAGTCCAGAAATGTGCAGTCCTTGGCACAGCCAAGATACTGCAGGACCCTCAAGCTCCCAGGCCTCTGGTAGAGGACCCGAGCTCAGAGGATAAGAACCACCCGCGGTGGGTGAGAAGGGAATTTATATATATATATATATATATATATATATATATAATATATATATATATATATATATATATATATATATATATATATATATATATATAAAACACATTACAACAATATACAACCTTTTTACATTGCAACAACAACAATAAATTGCTAATGATAATTTTAAATTTTAGAAATTTAAATTGTTCCAAACAGCAGCCCAGATGCCATTAAAGGGGAATGAATACTTTTGTGGATGCCAATTTATAACAACAGCTGTGACTCATTGGTTTAGACAAATATATGCCACATCAGTGATGCATCTATCAATATCTGGTCTTTGCTTGAGGATATACCACCCGACTTCATTCTTCAAAAGAAACTTGCTTGTCCTTAATTATAACAAATGCACAAAGTTTTTCAAATTACGACAGGACCAAGACAAAATGATGATACATGCTCAAAAATGATATGTAACATTTCTCCAACTATTCATCAGCTGAACAAATGATGATGGTCACAGTTTTTTCCCCAAGAAAACTGAGTAAATGAGTAAATTAGTTACTATTAATCTCTATAACTGCAACACAATTCACCAAAAAACAAATCAAAAACCTTTCTATCATATGTGATGAAGTCAGCTGTTCTAACCACTGCACAAACAAGTTCAGTAAGAATTTTCAATCAGATGTGTTCACAAGAAGAAAATGGAAACTCAATGCAGAAAGACCTTCCAACCCTGACTCTAATTTAACACTTTTATAAAATCTAGCTTGCATAAAATATCATTATAAACAAGACATATGTTGGTTACATGTGACCTTTATTGTCTCAAATCTGTAGAGAAGTTTATCTCAGAAAAATAAAATGTGTATGCAAATTCTCAGAAATGTCTTAAATACTGTTTTGTTCCATTTTCTTGCCAATATCCAGATAATCTACAATCAGTAATAACTCAGTAAAACAGGGTCAGTGTTGCCAAATATCTAATTTCTTCAGATAGTTTTATTATGTGTACTCAAGTATCTTATGATGCATCACATTATATCCCAGCTACCCTTGCAGTTGATACATATTTTGTTCTAAGTTTGTTAAGGATCAATGTTCTAACCTTAGCAGAAAGGAGAAGTTCACCATCCAATGGAAAATCCCTCGGGGACTGTTTGAACCAAATTTATGGTGGATGACTTTCTGCCACACTTCTAGAAAGTGTCACTGCAGCACTCCAGCCCACAAGATGATTAATAATCCATGAACCACATGGGAGACATGACAAGAGGGTGTACAGGGATGGGAGAAGGCAAAGGGGTGAGAGACTGAGAAAGGAAAGGCAGCCAGAAGTAAAAATGACAGCGCAAGTCTTGAGACATTTGGAGAAGATTGGAAAGAAAGAAGTCCTGGAGGAGAAGAGATGAGGGTATGGAGAGGAGGGGAGCAGATAAGACAAGGGGTGAATAGCAGATGAAGTGGCAAGAGAAGAAAAACTTTAGAGAAGATGAGCGGAGAGGAAACCGAAGAGATGAGAAGACTTAGAGGAGAAGAAGAGGTCGTGCTGAGGCAAATAGAAAGGATATGTGCAGAAGAGCTTGGAAAGACACTCAAGAAGAGTGCAAATGAGAAGTGGACCAGGTTCAATAAGTAACCGTTTGAGATTGACCATTACTTGCTTTAGATCAAAGCCTAAAATATGAATGAAAAACCACAAATGCAACAATTCAATCATAGAAAAATCTATTGTCAGTTTCTTTGTGTTAAATAAATAAACAATTTAGTTATTTATTATTTAAAAATTTAGTACTTATTTCACATCTCGTCGGAGTCATGCAGAACTGATCTAATTGTTTCCATAGCAACAGCATTTGCTTAGGGGAAGTTTGCTTTGTAAAAGAATAGGCTGTGAAACCACAATTACTGATTTGGCAGTGACTTCAGAAGACTTTGGGAACAATTGTTCCCTTGCTCCCAAAAACAAAACTGACCCAGCTGGAAAAAACAGAAGAGAGTTCCTACACATGTTCAGATTGAAAAATAGGTGGGTGAATGCCAAACACTTTTCCCCAAGAGAGATCTCCCTACTTCTAACGGAACTGAGAGAGAAAAAACTGACACCAGACTTGGGAAGACAGTTTGAAAAAGCACCAAGCTGCATTAGTCTGGTTTGAGGTGATTCTTCTGGAACCTGTTGGAGAAAAAAATATCCCAACTTCAGAACGAATGCTTTTAACTTAAAAGTGCTCTGTGGTTCCTCCTATCAATATGAGAGTCTGGGTGAGAAGGCACCATGTCAGAAAAATGAAGTGGAAGCTGCAGGATCTTCAGAACAAACAGGTCTACTGATTATCCCTCTGTCTGGACACAAGATTAAAATAAAATAAAATACAATAAAAGCCAAAATAAATGGTTATATGCCAGACATAGAAAACTGGGATGCACTCCATGCCATGATGTTCAGAATTTAGGATTTATTGCATCTTGTGTTGTTGCTATTGCCAGTGGGGAGATTGAGGAAAATATATTAACCAAACAGTCGTGATTTTGGACTGTGGCAGGAAGATGGAGCCCCTGGAGAGAAACCTGCAAACAGAAAACCTGTAAAATCTCTTTACCTTTATCTCTTGAATTTTCTTGTCTTTGGTCATAAATACTCATAAAAGTATCATATATGGAAGAGCCTTTAGTTTGGACATCTTGAACAGTCTTGGTGACCCATTGGGTTCCAATGAATGTATGACTGATAAAAATCCAGCCTGACAAAACAAATTTTTTTATGCTCATGTAAAAACAGGAAAGTCCTTGTTCCAATCCTTATTTCTTTCCTCACAATCTTTTAAGTATTTTCTTATAATGCTTCTCATTTTTCTCCTGGAATTAACCACTCTACAGCCCTTCTCCTCTTTTCTCCATCCTCTGAATGTTCAGTAAAGCGAGAACTCAACAAATCAATAGTTGGGCAGCATCTACGCTCTGTAAATCAGCCTTTCCATTACTGGACACTGATATTGACTGATACCTGGATTGACAGACTGG